TCTCTCCAAGTATGTGCGCGTGTATATACGCGATATACGCGCGATGCGTCCACCGAGGAGAGGCAAGAAAAATGGACGCCGATCGTGCGTCGCGGCCGGTGCCGAGCCGACTGACTGACTGACTGACTGACTCCGCCAGTCAGCACGTACAGTCACCGCACTTGCATCAACACACACCGGCTGCCATCCACTTCTTCCCCCGCAGCCTCTCGTTTCCAGCTCCATTCCAGCTTCTCCCGCCTTCTCGCGGGGGCCCCTTCTCGCTTCTGCCTCCTTCTGCCTCCGCATCTTTTGCGGTCCGCACTCCAGCTGCGTGTTCCAGCTCCCCTCCTCCCCCCTCTCGCCGCAGGCCTCCTTTGCCTTCTCCTTGCCTTCCCTCCCTTCCCCACCTTTCGTAGGACTGTTTCGAACCTGCGTGGAATTCGATCAAGAATTCCGGATATTTCGTCTTCTCTTGTTTTTTTCCCTATGATCTTTTGCGCTGTCCAATGATGATTTCTCGATGGAAACGGAAGTATAATTGATTTGATTATAATTAATCGGTGTATCGTTGCGCGAAGGATGTACAAGTGGGTGAGGATAATGTTCGATAATGGTAATAGAATTGTGGAGAGATGAANGTTTTTTTTTCTTTTTTTTTTTTTGGTTGATTGATAACAGCGGCGTATTCAAAACGGGATAGGAAACGTGGGAGAGATGTTAAAGTATAGTTATTACGACGTTCGTAATATTCGTAGGAAGGAGAGATTAATCGGTAAAGGGTTTTTTGCCCGCGCGAATGAAATTAATTATTCGGGGCCTCGGTTCGCCGTAATGAACTATGACTCGGAAACAAGGCCGCCTAAGGATATATCGCGGTACAGGGGCGCATGCAAGAAGCTGAATACCAAAGATTCCTGGAATCACTGCCGTTGGGCGATAAAGCGTTTACACCTGAATCGATTAGCATCTTTCATTAAAATTAATGGAGAATCGATACTAATCCTCCTACGATCGCGTATCCACGTTCAACGCATACGGGGGCACTAATTAACCGAAATATCTGCGTCTGACCGAGATGTATCGGTGCGTTGGCTTTGGTTTTAGAGATGGCCGTGTATTGCGCCGCCTGATGCGAATTATGCATGATACGTCGACCAATATCGCGTTAAAAAAGTATTAAATTTCGTATTTGCGATAGAAATCTTACATCTGTAAAAATCCATTTTATCTTTCGAGTGTTACCTTTACTGAACGAGTAAACGGGTTGTAAGTAATATGCGATGTAGAAGATGATTCAATTTATCTTGAACAAATCGTAATAATGACTTTTACGATGTATAAAAATATAAATATCAATGAAATATGAAAATAGATATAGATAAAATATACTTATTACGTATAAAAATAGGATTAGAATAGATTTTGGAAAGATTTTTAATCGATAGATTAAGCGAAGAAAAGAATAAAATTAATCAAATATCGAAGATATCTCTTGAACGCGTGAATTTTATGGAGCGAGTGATAGACAAGGAGAGTAAGTAATGAGAGAAGGACAGAGATAGGATAAAAATATTGAAATCAGCGCCATCTTCAGAGTGCCGCAAATGAAATCAAAAAATAAGGATAGAGAATAGTAGAAAAAGGACAGAGATAGGTCGGAATTAACCGCTAACGCCATCTTTCGAGTACAAGAAGTACTTCTTTAAAGATGATAAGATAGAGTTACAAGAATTAAGAGGCAGCGCCATCTCTCGAGTATAAAGAATACTTCAAAGATGATAATGTAGAATCAAAAGAATTAAGCTGCAGCGCCATCTCTCGGGAATAAAAAGTATTTCTTCAAAGATGATAAAATAGAATTGGAAGAATTAAGAAGCGCCATCTCTTGAGTTTTCTTTTGACGAGGTACCTTTGTTCATTAAGAGATGGCACTAATGATCAATTCTTATTGTATCTCTATCCTTTTTCCATTATATTCTATCCTTATTTTCTGAGTTTCGTTTGCGGCACTCTGAAGATGGCGCTGATTTCAACATTTTTATCCTATCTCTATCCTTCTTTCATTATTTGCTATCCTTGTCTATACTTTTTCTTAGTACATGGTAGGTATAAATAAAATTCGATATAAAATAAGATTTTAACGTTACGAATAATTAAAAATTTAAACTGTATTTTAATGAAATTACAAATAAGATACAAACGTAAACAACAATTAGAGATATTAATTATTTAACATTTATAACTAAACGAATGTAAACAAAACCTTAAATATTTTTATGCACATTCAATTAATATATCTTGAGATAAAACTTTCATTAGAGCATTAATATTTTCTGAAAGCAAGAAATCGTCCGAGATCACTTTCGATATATCGATAGTCGTTTCTATGGCGCCATTTAATTTTTTGAACGCGTTCCTCGCAACCACAAGCTCTGTCAAAACGTTCTTGAAAAGTAGCTAAAAACAAGTGTGTGTTAAGTGTTTACCGATTCTGTGTATTGTGATTTGAAAGATTGTGTGTTACTCACTTCGATTCCACCATAATTTGCGATGCCAACACATCCTACGAATCCATTTCCGTGAGTATAATATCCTAACTTCCTTCTTCGTAATCCGAAACAGAAAACTACATTTTGCTTCCTACACGTATCTATCAATTTATCGATTTGATCGTCTAATCCGTCTAAAATCGTGATTTTTATAAAAAAATTTTCCATTTCGTTATAAATTTTATATATTTACCTTCTAATTCAACTTTTTCGACATCAGGAGCGATAATCACGAGTTTAAGCTTTTTCAATTCAACATGTTTACGAACTTCTTTCAAACCAGAATAATAGCGCCGTTTATACTTAGATTTATTTGGATTTTTCTCGTGAAATCTTCTTTGAAGCCTTGTGATTTCTCGTAAAAATTCTTCGAGGGCATCGTTCAAGCCTTTCGTTAACGTATTAGTACAATATCTGCAAGATGTTTGAATTTATAAAATTATTAAATAGTTTTCATTCGACATAATATCAAGTGAATTCTAAAAGAAAAGATAAATTTCATCTTCTAGATGAAAATTAGGATAGGATAGAAAGGTTATAATTTTGACAAACATTTTGATAATATAATATATATTATTTATTGCGTGTATAATGCAAGTATTAATGAATCAAGAATACAAACATATATTACAATGTCACACAGTAGCATTCAAGTGTCATACAAAATATAAAATACTTTAGTGTTTATCGTTATAGGTAAATTAAAATACTTACTCTCTAAAATTACGAGAAAATTTTAGAAAATTTTTATCATCTATTTCTGTACTAGTTTGAACTTCTGGCTTAATATCATCATTAATTTGAAGAGAAAGGGTCTGTTTAACAATGTCATTTTCAATAATATCGGTAATAAAATGAGAAAAATTTGTTCTATTATTTCCTTTCACTAGCCTATTTGTCAATTGCATTCCTTGAATTCCAAGATCATTTATCCTTTCAATTACATCAGGTCTGTGACATAAAGTGTTGTCAGAAATATTTATATCATTTATATTTCTATAATTTTTATCATACAGTGCCATTGTCCACATATTTCTAACATAGTCTATCTCTGGTTCTGCACTAATTTTCAAAGCATTAAAATCAATAGTATCAACATCTCTACAGATAGCTTCTACTTTCTTACGTTCAAATTCTTCTCTTTTCTCATTATTAATCTGTGCTTTCATATTACGATTTAAAAGAATTATTCTCTTTAATTTTGAGGGTTTTTTGTCTTTAGAAATACAAATTCTAACTTTTCTAAGATCAGAACATTTGTTTTTATCCAATCTACTTGGAACATTAAAACCAAGATTGCCCATGTAGAGATTAATCCTTAATTTTGGAACTTGTTTGTTCATTTTATTAGCACATAATGTATTCTATAAATAAAATTATAGATATAATTCATTGTATCATACCATTGTAAATAATTATTCAATTTTATAAATGCAATAATAATGCACCTGTAAAGCTTCTTGAAGATTGATACAAATTTTATTTGATTTTTTGTATCTTCTTAAAAATTTTGATCTTTTTGGTTCCATGCTTGTCTCTTCCATAGGTAACAAAATCTGTATATTATTAGATGTTGACAAACAAACTTCTCGTGGTATAATTGACTTTTTATTCTTGATATATCTATCACCAAGTTCAGGATATTCAAAATTATTTAAATTTAATATTCTATCATTTTCAGTAAAAGCATATCTCTGGCCAAGTTCTGTCCATGGATCGTGAGAATTGATATTTTCATTTGTACTGAAAAGCATATAAAAATATTATTCAACTTTTTTTTAATATTTTGCAAAATTGCAAAAGTTATATACAATACTTACTCAAACGACCATGTCAAATTATCAATCTGTGATTTCTGCATTCTAATATAATTATGTCTAACCATCGTAACTTTCATTTATATAGAAACTAATATTCATAATTGTTATTGCTACCATTTATTAATCGTGAACTACGCAAAACATACGTCACCTACTAAGAATATGTAAACAAAATTATATATTTCGTCATATACTGATAAAAGATCCTAGATCTGAATTTCTAAATTTAAAAATTCAATTCCAACAATGAATCTGATAACATTGTGTTTTAAAAATAATTTATTTTTCATTTATTTTTATAGAAATCAATTATATGCAGCTAAATAAATTTTATATGAATAATTTTTGAAAATTAGATTTAATAAAAAATTAAATATAGTAAAGATTGGTAAGCCTGATGACCCAGTTTCTTAATGAAATAACTTTTATAGTTCTCCGTCAGAGGGTACTAATGTCGTATATAACTGCTTCATTAAATTTCCATAGAATTTATAAACAGAAATTTCTTACAGAGAATTTATAATCATAAATACTTTTATCGAGAATTTCATTCTCTTTATTATTCATAAAACATTACGTATATATTCGTATGAAGTTAATTTTACGAACATGAAACTTCTTAGAAAGTTTTAATTAAACCAGATAAGCATAATCTAAATTTTATTAAAAGAATTCGAGAAATTATTTCATAAATTGCCAAACCTAAAACACCGTAACATTAGAAATTTTATGCATCTACGAGTAGAAATATCGAACGAATAAGACAAATCGTACACGTTCAATAAATTTCTTTATAAATCCTATTTAAATTTGGTATAGTAAGAATAATTCATCGACGATTTTATTTCTCATTCTCCATTTTATTTAATTCTCATTCGTTCAGCCACCCCTTGCGCGATATATTTTTTACGCGCTATTTACATCATCCAAGTAACCACAAATAATATCCCAATATTATCTTCCCATAAAATTTCACGAGTCTAAACCTCAAAAACGAGAGACCAGTCCGTCAGTCAAAAATCGTTGCATTATCTAAATAGCAATAACAACCCTCTCACGATTACTCTGTACGAATTGCGCTATTTCTTCGGCCTTAGGTTTATCATCCTTCATAAAATCGGTCGTCGTAACGTCGTTGGCACGTGAAAACGATCCCATCGGGGACGAACGACTTTCTCGAAAAAGTATCCCTTATTTTTCTCTTTTCCCTCCTCCCTTTATTTTTCGTGTGTGGCAGTGGTGCTCGTGCGCCGTTCGTCAAGGACCTGCGCACGTGCCACCGGCCTGGCGGACCGATGAAAATCAATAATTTCCAGGGTATAAAAGATCCTGTTTCCGTAACGTGGCCACCTCTTTGAGTTCCGGTGATCGGTGTGTCGCGCACCTCGGCCTCGAACGTGTTAGTGGCTCTTCTTCTCCGTTTTTTCCGATCTTTCTCTCTGTTCCATCGAAGAGGTATACAAGCAGGTAGTCGATTAAGTGGATTAGCGTATAAGGTACCCACGCACCGGCATAGTGCGTATGCCGGTGTTTAGCGATAAGTTTCACACCCATCCCGTGGTCACACGGACGATTTCGGTGTTTCACCCCTTTTCGAAAAAGCTCTATCGAGGCGTCGTTTACGATTAATATCGATTTTAACGAGATTGTAAATTTCTCTTTCTTATTTTTTCTCTCTCTTCCTCTCTTTGTCATTCATTCAACGAATTTTCTCATTCATGCGTTTAGAAAAATCCATTCTTCGCTTCGATCAGGAGATGAACGTTGATATTCCCGACGCCTCGAAGAGCGTATCGTCATCGCGTGGCCTCTTCGAATACCGATAATCGATTCGAGGGACAAAAGTAAATCGGTGGAACGATTAAACGACTCGTTCGATCGGTCCATTCCCCGATTAGGACGTCGTACGCCGTAGAAAGTGCAGTTGCACGTGGGCACGTAATCGAACGCGAGCAGGAAAAATACGCGACGACGGATCATTAGCGGTTCGAAACACTTTCGCCTCGTAAATGGAATTTGCAATCGATCGGTATTCGTGGGTCATTGCGATAACGTTTAAACGCCCCTCGTTCCGGAAATCGTCCGCACGACTACAATTAATTTATTTAAGAACTTCGAAATCAGAAAGATGAACTTCTTACGAGATTTGATATACATCCACGAGACTGATGGCTTAAGGATTATACACTTCTCTTCTCGATCTCTTTATTATTTTTCAAATACCACGATATATATACATCTTATCTTTATTTTTTATTTTCTTTCCCTGTTTCTTTGATTTGTTCCACACGGAATATCGTGTGGCATGGTGTAGGCCTCCTGGGGATCCCCGCCATGTAAAAAAACGGGAACGCGTTCCGGCACAGTACCCCTTGGGTGACGAGGAAAGCTGTGCCATTTTATGTTCGTTTTTTAACGATAAGTTCAAC